CACGACCGGCACCGGAGCTCCTGCTCAACGGGTGATCGGGCCGTGTCTTCACCTGCCTGCCATAAGCGAGGTCAGGAAGCTTTCTCTTCGGCCACGATCAGGAACCGGGAAGTCCTTTACCCGGCTGACCGCGCCATGTCTTGGTACGCTGCAACCCTCGATGACTTGTCCCATACATACTCCAGCCACACACACACCGCTCCCAGAAAGCATAGCATCGAACGTTCAAACAACCCAAGCAGGTAAAAGGAGGCATGCAGAATGCCCATGAAGAAAGTAGGCACATAGAGTAGCCACTCCCTAGCCAGGTGAAGAACGAAAGTGTAAGAAACAAGCTCAGACTCCAATCCTATCGCACGAGTAAGATAATGTAGAAGTAAAATTGCCATTGGCAAGAGAGCGGTAAAACAAGCAGCTGTAGCAGAGAGAATAGAAAAGAGTAGAAAAGAAAGTTAGTTAGGGAAGTATAATAGTAAATATTAGCATATAATCAACACCCAAACTAAATTAACCACCCAACACTGCGTTGAGCTCTGCTGCATTGAGTAACAACCAAGTAAGTAAGCAATGAAGTAACCGGCAATCAATTAAAAGGAAGGAAAACAAAGTATTCCATTAGGGCGCCTTCAGGAACAACAATTCCTGTCAAAGTATAAAGAAAATTGCTGCGCTCACTTACTTATTGACAACTGAACCATATCAAAATGGGTAGGAAAGTGCAATATTGTCAAAGCCTGGACTAAGTAAATGTAAATTTAAATTTATAATGTATAATTTGTATATGGATTAATATATATTAATATAACCAAGACACAGCATAGTAGTGACACCTAAGTCATCTCATAACACAATGCAACAGAAAACGCAGGATCAAACTGTCCTTAAAATATATATGAAGGTAACGCAGCACAATGAAACGTACATAATATATGCATTCAAACAACCAATCCATATAAACCAAACTGTACCAAATTCTAATAGATTCTAGTGAATTCCATTGAATCCATTATGTTCAGCATGCAATAAAGCCAATTAAACTACACTAAGGCATATAGACACATGTCATCACATAATAATGTAAATATGTAAATACGGCAGGTACGGTGAAATAAAATAAAACAAGCACTTATAAAGTCATTTAATTAATTTAACCTAATTTATTCAATATACCATATCCACCGCTAATCACCCCATTCGTTTATTCACTCAATTATAATAATATAGTGGAATAGAAGATAGGGAGTTATATAATACAATACAGTACAGTTTACAGTGTAGCGCAAAATACTGCCTAAGTATAACCTAATGTAACTGAAATACCTGAAATAACTGAATATAATCCAAAATCTGATATGATAATATAGTAATATAACATATTCAATACTTTATTCAATACATAGATTGAATTGAACGGAGATAGAAGGTAATTGAATGTAATAAACATGAATATAAATATGACCATAATATAAAATAAATAATATAATATAATATATTATAATTTGCACAAAACGGAGTAAATAGCACCACTTTGAAACACATACACTGCAATGGAACACAATGCATCGCGGTGGAGCGCGCATTTCACCACAATCACCTTCGCACCAATTAAATTTTGATTTATACTTAAATAGAAGAATTAAATAATTAATTTAGTTATCACTTCACATCACAGATCACAGACGAGTAAATAATGCACAAATTTGCACAATGCCCGGAGAAGAGAAGAGTAAACACGCGTCACCGAAAACTATGTTACCTAAGACTGAAAACCGGGCCGAGTAAAAGAGCGAGAGCGAGACCATAAAGTATAAAACATATAGAGATAGAACCTAGTGTTCATAAAATTCCCTAGTTCACTCCATAATGGTTATCAATCGTCAATTATCCATCAAACCATCAAATTAAGTAATTAAGTAATTATAGAGAATATATAAGTGCTCATAAGCGAAAAGCGAAAATGCATAAACAAAACAGTTTGTACAAATCAAAATGAATCAAAATGACCAAAACCAAAGATAATGTACCTACAAAAGATGACCATAAGCCGCAAGCTATGCCTAGTTGGTAATCAACCGCAGTACCAAGGATATTACCAGCAACAAATATTCCGTTTACCAGACAATGATACTCGGCCGCTCACTCCATAACGGCTATCCACAGGCAAATTATCTGCCGCGCAGTAGTCACCTACCACGCGCCAATTACCAGTTACACAGTTACCGACTGCAGAACTGTCCATCGTGCTGCCGCGCAATCCTGGGAAACCGTACTTACCATCAGACTTACCATCAAAGATAAGTCTGGTATACAATACTATAATCGAAAAGATAATTATGCTAAATCAATGGAATCAGAGATAAACTTCAAACGGGCCAACATCAGGCATTAATTAATTAATATATAAAGAAATAAGTCAATATTATGATTATAGATACATTACCTATATAAAACATCATATAAGTTTGTGATAAAATAAATAAGATAGAATATAATTATAGTTAAAACGCATAAAGTAGCCTGACACGATGTAAGTCAATAAGATAATTAGAAAAATAATAAAAAATAATAAATCATAAAATCAGCCCGAATAAGTCCCGCAGATTGCGCAGATTGCAGGACGCACTGCGTTACTGCATGATCACGTCGCAAAGAAAGAAATTATACAAAAGGCAATGAAGATAAAGGAAAACAACCGCCAAGAAATGAGAGGCCGAATAAATAAATAAAATAAGACCCTAAACCAAAGCAAAATCAATATGAAACGCATATAGTCAGGAAAACCCATGGAACCATTCAGACAACACCCAGTCAAATAATATTAGTTAACAGAATAAATAAAACCAGAATAAAGTCAAGGCAGCAAGGCAACAAGCAACTGGCAGAAAGGAAATATGAATCAGAAAATAAATCAAAATAAATCAGATCAAATCAATGTATAACTATAATCAGGCAACATCAAAATGAATAATGAATAATAAATGAATGAATGAATACTGAATGCGAGAGGAAAAGCTGAAGATATTCACAAACTGAGGAACTACAGCAAATGAAAGTGTGTAACGCTTAACAGACATAGCTGACATAATGTAGTATAATGCAAAATAATGTAAAAGAAAATAAGATAAATACAACAAGTGAGTTATATTCTAATTAAATATGACCGTAAACATTATTGACTCCATCCCCACTACTTTATAAATTATAGATTATAAATTGTAAATGATTATGTCCATGCAAATGCAAATAGAAGGTAAAAATTCATAACCGATTGATGTATAAAGATAGTAAATAATAAATATATGACAAATAAAAACAAATCAAATATAAGGTGCGTGGTTCAATTAGACACCACACCATTACATAGTAAAAGAATAAAATAAGGAATAACAGATAAATAAATAAATAAGCAAAGAAGTAGGGTATTTGAAATGAAATTCAAATGGTGTGCTTATAACAGAAGCCACGCGCTGTCAAGCATTTGAATGGACAAAATCATCTATCCTCTCAAGAAAATTAACCGTACTTAAATCCAAATAACTCTAAATAAATAATTGTAGATAATAAGCGAATGAATGAATGAGTGAGTGAGCAATAGAGCTATTACAGAAGTTAATCAAGTTAAGGCAAGTAAAGGCAGATAGAGAGAGTAAGGAAAGTAAAGAAAGTGTAAAGCATAGTATATAGACGAACGTGACTGACACAAAATAAAAAGAATAGAACAAGATACATTGAAGTACATTCCACCAACATGCATATCCATACACTCATTCATACATCTCACATAGACGCAGTCATCCAATGAGGCTAAATCAAATAAATTTACAAAATCCATTACGTTGAATATGCAATGAGACAGATTATATTATCCTAAACAGACATAATATTAAGAAGGTACGGTAAGATAAAATGAATACACTCAGCACTCGACAAGACAACCAAGTGTTTCAGATATAACTGTCAATTAACTTTATTCATTAATTAGCAGTAGAAAGATAATGATGCAAAATATTACACAATATTACACAATACTAACTGAATTTATTGTAAATAATATGTAAAATGCAAATTGGGTATAAGTATAAGTATAAAAATATGTATAAGTATAATAATAATGAATATGTAAATATAAATATACAAATATATAAATAAATATAAATAAATAAATATAATATATCAGAAAACGGAGCACAATAGCACATATCACCACTCATTGCAATGGGTACACGCACAAATCACAAACACACACGCACCGATATTCAATATTCAATATTAATGGCCTAATCAAAACTCAGCAATTTAACAATTCAATTAATTTACGATCCTCCTCCATGTCTCAACCGAGTATATGGCACACGGAGATGGAGTAAACCAGTACCGCCGATGATCATGTCAACCAAAGATAAGAAACCGCGTGAAGCTTAAGCCATAAACCATACGCCATATAGATGCGCAACCTTCGAGGAATTTCGTAAAATTTACAGTTCGTCCCATTATGTCTGTTGTCTATTAAATTAGTTATCAAATTAATTAATTGATTATTACACGGAACGTACAAGCGCCCGCGACTAAATACATCAATAAAACACTTTCAATAAATTACAGTGAACGAAACCAAACAGGAATAGAATGTAACGGAAGGTAACGATAGCGGAAAACATTCCGGTATCTCACTAAATAAAGTAAAGTACGCAACACTATCCGTTGATAATAATTACAAATTATCCTTAGTTGGTAACCATCCGCAGCACCGGCAGCCAAATATTATCGGCCACAAGCATTCTACTTATTTACCATACAATACTCGGCCGTTCATCCCGTAACGGTTATTCACCGACCAACTATCCGCCGCGCAGCAGTTACCCACCGCGCGCCAGATATCTGCTACATCACAGTTACCGACAGCTAAGCTATCCGTCGCGCAACCGCGCCATCCTAGGAAGCCATACTTACCATCAGACTTACCATAAAAGATAAGTCCGATATCCAATACTATTCACGGAAAGGTAATTATAAACGGACAAATAAGACCCCAGACGGATTAAAATCAAGAATAAATCAATTAATAAAACATTACCACGACTCACGGGAAAAGTAATTATAAAAGCAAACGGGCAACAAATAGAACCCCAGACGGATTAAAATCAAGAATAAATCAATTAATAAAACAATACCACGGCTATCATTTATTATTTATAAATATATAGATCATACGTTTGCAATAGTGTAGGATGAAGTAAATGTTAAGTATAAACAATGATGAAGATAGAATGAAATGAAAGAAATGAAATCAACCCGAATAAGATCCGCAGATTGCAGGACGCATCATGTTACTGCCTATCGCGCCGCAGGAAACAAACTACGCAGAACAACGAAACAAAGAAACCGCCACAGAACGAAAGGCCGAATAAATAAACGAATGAAACATTCAACCTAAACAGAATCGAAATCAAATATAACCATCTCACAACGTCAGATAACGCATATAGTCAGGAAAGTCACGCAGGACCAATCATGTAACACCCAGTCAGTTAATAAATAAATGTAACCAAAGTAGAATCAAAGCAACCAAGGCAGCAGGTAACTAGCAGAAAGGAGATATAAAAGAAAAGAAGAGAAAAGAAACAAACAAGGTAATGATTATAATAACGCATAATAAATTTAAACAAGAGTAGCACAAGTTAATGACATGAATATTAATTCCTACAGGAACAGCACACCGTCATCAAAGAGCTATACTATTATCGAAGAGAAACAGCTTGAATAAATTGAATTAAAGAATACCAGAGAAGAATATCAAAATGTCAAAATGTCCAAGGAATGTCCAAGGATAGAGGTGACAAGAAATAAAATAAAATAAATGATGGTAGACAGTGATACGTGGCACAAATAAATTAAAATATAGAAAATATATATAGAATAATTGTATGCAAACAAACCATAATTATATTAATATTAATACCATTTACAGAACTTTGTACCATCGTGAGTCAAAATAAACTAAATCTTAACAGTTACCTTGATTCAATTTAATTCAGAATGAATGAACAATGACAGCATGAAATGAACGACTGAACAATGAAATAATCAATTAAAGATATTAAGAAGAATGAGGTAAATAATGAGGTAAATAATAAATAATAAGCATAAAGTAAAAGTGAGGGCCGTAACCAACCTAATGTAAATAATGTAATGTAATGCACTGTAATATAAGTAATTCAATATAATGCAAAACAGAATGCAATAATAAACTGAATACAAAATACAAAATACAAGAAGTGAATTCAATAGATATAACCGTAAAGATTATTAACTACAATACTCTATTTCTTTACCAGAGTAGATTATAAGTTAGACTGTAACTGGTAAATGGTAGATGATAAATGGTCATGTCAATACAACTGCAAATAGAACTAATTAATGAATGACATATCAAAATAGAGTAGCTAAAGCAACAAATAGATGAATCAAATATAAAGTACGCAGATCAATAAACACTATACCAGTGTATAAACTGAAATAAGACTAAATGAAATAAAGTAAAATAGAATAATAAATAAGTAAATAAATAAGAGTTCTTGAATGATAAGATTATAATAAAATTCACGCACAATCAAAGCATTTGGATGGACAAAACCACTTATCATTGTAGAGAAGGCAAAACTTAATTAAAATAAAGTAGTATAAATCATATCCATTAACTTTAATTGATCAGAATGAATGAGTGAATGAGTGAATGAATAATGAATAATGAATAATGAATAATGAATGAATGGATGGAACGATTAAGGAAATTAAAGATTAAGGAAAATAAAGAAGGTAAGAAGGCGTAAGTGAAAGCAAGAAAGCAGGAATGTGTCAGAACGAATAAACAATGAGAGAATGAAAAAATGAACGATTGAACAGTGAAATAATCAATTAAAGATGTTAAAGAAGAATGAGGTACATAATGAGGTAAATAATAAATAATAAGCATAAAGTCAAAGTGAAGGCCGTAACCAACCTAATGTAAATAATGTAATGTAATGCACTGTAATATAAGTAATGCAATATAATGTAAAACAGAATGCAATAATAAACTGAATACAAAATACAAAATACAAGAAGTGAATTCAATGAAATATAACCGTAAAGATTATTAGCTACAACACTCTATTTCCTCACCAAAGTAGATTATAAACTAAATTATAAATGGTAAATGATTATGTCAATGCAAATGCAAATAGAACTGATTATTGGATGACGTATCAAAATAAAGTAGCTAAGGCAACAATGAAATCCAATGTAAAGTACGCAGTTCAATAAACACTATACCAGTGTATAAACTGAAATAAGAATAAAATGAAATGAAATAAAAATAAAATAAATAAATAAGTAAATAATAAATAAGAGTACTTGGATGATAAGATTATAATAAAATTCACGCACAATCAAAACATTTGGATGGACAAAACCACTTATCATTGTAGAGAGAGCAAAACTTAATTAAAATAAAGTAAAATAAAGTAATATAAATCATATCCATTAACTTTAATTGATCAGAATGAATGAGTGAATGGATAATGAATAATGAATAAATAATAAATGAATGAATGGAACGATTAAGGAAATTAAAGATTAAGGAAAATAAAGAAGGTAGAAGGCGTGAGTGAGAGCAAAAAGCAGTACTATGTCAGAACGAATAAACAATGAGAGAATGAATGAATGACTGAACGGTGAAATAATCAATTAAAGATAATAAAGAAGGATGAGGTAACTAACAAGATAGATAATAAGGCATAAAATATAAAATGAAGGCTGTAATCAACATAATGTAAATAGTGTAATGTAATATAATGTAAAACAAAATGAAATATACTAAAATAGAATACAAAGTACCAGAAGTGAACTCAATGAAATATAACCGTAAAGATTATTAGCTACGACACTCTATTTCCTCACCAAAGTAGGTTATAAACTAAATTATAAATGGTAAATGATTATGTCAATGCAAATGCAAATAGAACTGATTATTGGATGATGTATCAAAATAAAATAGCTAAAGCAACAATGAAATCAAATGTAAAGTACGTAGTTCAATACACACTATACCAGTGTATAAACTGAAATAAGAATAAAATGAAATAAAATAAAATAGAATAAATAAATAAGTATATAATAAATAAGAGTACTTGAATGATAAGATTATAATAAAATTCACGCACAATCAAAACATTTGGATGGACAAAACCACTTATCATTGTAGAGAGAGCAAAACTTAATTAAAATAAAGTAAAATAAAGTAATATAAATCATATCCATTAACTTTAATTGATCAGAATGAATGAGTGAATGAATAATGAATAATGAATAAATAATAAATGAATGAATGGAACGATTAAGGAAATTAAAGATTAAGGAAAATAAAGAAGGTAGAAGGCGTGAGTGAGAGCAAAAAGCAGTACTATGTCAGAACGAATAAACAATGAGAGAATGAATGAATGACTGAACAGTGAAATAATCAATTAAAGATAATAAAGAAAAATGAGGTAACTAACAAGATAGATAATAAGGCATAAAATATAAAATGAAGGCTGTAATCAACATAATGTAAATAATGTAATGTAATATAATGTAAAACAAAATGAAATATACTAAAATAGAATACAAAGTACCAGAAGTGAACTCAATGAAATATAACCGTAAAGATTATTAGCTACAACAATCTATTTCCTCACCAAAGTAGATTATAAACCAAATTATTAATGGTAAATGGTAAATGATAAATGATTATGTCAATGCAAATGCAAATAGAGCTGGTTATTGAATGACGTATCAAAATAAAGTAACTAAAGTGACCACGAAATCAAATCAAATCAAATGTAAACTGCGTAGTTCGATAAACACCATACCAGTGTATAGACTAACAATAAATAGATAAATAAGTAAATAAGTAAATAAGGATACTTAAATGATAAGATTATAACAAACCCTGCACCATCAAAGCATTTGAATGGACAAACCACTCATCATCATAGAAATAAACTAAAGTAAAATAAATCATATCATATCCATTAATTTAACTTTAATTGATCAGAATGAATGAATGAGTTAATGAATAATGACTGAATGAATGGGAAGATTAAGGAAATGCAAGATTTAGAAAAATAAAGAAGGTAAGGAAGGTAACGTGAGTGAAAGAAGGCGTGAATGAAAGCAAGAAAGCGTGAATGTAATACAATATTATAAGTAAGTAAGTAAAGGAAAGGAAAGTAAATGAGCACCCACCACGCAACAAATAAACTACATAAAACTATTTACACCAAAAGCACAAAAGCAATCCCTCATCGCATCACATCATTAAAACAAACACACTAAACCTGAAATAAACTAAAACAAAACAAAACTGGAACTGGAACAAGAGGAACAATTAAAAACACAACCCGGATTGTCCAATTTATTTATTTATTAATCAATTCAATTTATTTCAGCACATGTCACTGCTGCATCGTCCAAAATGAAATATGTAAGCCACGATATAAGAAAGAAATAAAGGAATAAATGAATAAATACGATGAATACTATGAATGAGATAATCGAATATCAGAATCGAAAGAACAAGAAAAGTAAACCACGTAACCACGTAACCAATAAACACGTTAAATACGTTGCACCACGGATATAAATCGATGAAAATGACAAATATAATAAAATAAAATAAATAAACCAAACAATAAGCCGAACAACCGGATGACAAGAGGACTACGCACTGAATCACAAAATAAAGGAAATAAATAAATGCAATACCCGTAATGACGCGAAAGATATTAAATAACATGAACCATGAGATATGAAATATGAATGTAGATGGTAAATAAAATAAATAAAATAGAATACGATGGGTAATGAAATAATAAGACGAGACAGCAATGTAAACCGCGTAAACCATTAACACATGAAAAAGCGATATTAACCACTGATATTAATATATATAGAACCAAATAGAACGGTAAATACGATGAGACGATAAATAAATTGAACAATTAAATCACGCAAAGGGACGTAAATTGCGCAGGTTTATTAATCACACAATTATACCGTTGCGAATAAATAAATAAATAAAAGACAACAATGAGATAAAATAAAATTACGGTAATAAAATAAATAAGACAAATAATGAATGTAACGCAAGTTGCATAAATTATCAAGGCACACTACCCCACTGTACTATAATAAATAAATAAAATAAATAAATGAAACAAATAACACAGAATAACACAAAATAGTGTTAAATATCAATATGTAAGTATAAACAGCGAAGGAAAAGTAAAATAAAATATAGAACACTATGAACGATAAAATAATGAAGCGAAACATAAAATAAAATAAAAATTGATAAAAGCGTTAAAATGACAATAGAAAATAATGAAAATAATAAAATAAGATAAGAAAATAAGAAAATACGATGAATAAATATGCAAAACCGGAAACACCGGATAATCGAATAATCGAATCGATTAATCGAATGTGTTAATAAACAAATAATTAAATAATACAGCGGAATAACGTGCCAGTCAAACACATGCAACCAGATAGTAAAATAAAGTAAATTAATATTAATAATACACATAACGAAGGAATATCGAAAAATATTGAAAAAATATCGATGCACTTTTACACAAATCACTTAATAAACCGACGCAATTAACGGAAAACAAAATAAAATCAGAATAAGAACAGAATAAAGGAATAAAAATAATACGTCACCAAACCGTTGACCTAATTTCCCATCGTCTGTCCTCTTCTATCCAAGGCCCGGGCCGCGCGTGCAGGTTGACTATCCTTGTCCAACCACAGCAGCCATCTTGAAAACCTGTCAATCCTGTCTGATCTTGCATGCGTTGTCTTCATTAATTGAATC